TTTTTTATAAAGTCAGGCTTGGGCTCCTTTTCACAGAAGACATGGAGATAATGCATTGACGTGGCTCCACGGGGACCCAGGAGTCAGGAATGGCACCGGGCTTCACATTCTTGTGGTTATCTGCTGATGGCTTCCCGGGGCCAGCAGTGAGCCCTGAGGAAAGCATGTGGACCAGGAAGCAGGAAGCTATTTTCTCTCTCTGCTTCAGGGGAGATGATGAGTGCTTTGCAGAGGAATGTAAGACCTACAGTATTCTGTAAACTTCTACTAATACGTGAGTTAGGACCCTGAGACAGTTTTCAAACAGGGCCACTAGTTTCTGTTTGTAAAAGGAGTGGACCTAACCTTGTCTTAGCAGCTGAAAGTCAAACAGCCAGCAAATCTGAGGTCAATTTCAGCACCTTTAGGGTCTACAGTGGCATCCGAGAATGAACACATTCAGACACTGTAATTTTTCAATGTCATTTATTTAAACCAAAATCCATTTATATTTTCAACGGGGGGGGGGGGAATTTCAAAGATATAAAAATATATTCATATTCAGAACAAACAACTTTGTTCAATTTCTATAAAAAATGAAACTACATTTTTTGGGGGGGGGTGAACCCTGTAACATGGGAAATAGCTTCACTGAAATTCAAATTTCCACATGCAAAAACTAACTCATTTTGTTTGGGGATTGACTGAAATGGTTAGGAGCCCAATAAAATAAAATAATTAATTTGTCAGGCCCTGGATGGGTAGCTCGGTTGGTTAGAGTGTCATCCTGATATGCCAAGGTTCGGGTTTGATTCCTGGTCAGGGCACATACAAGAATCAACCAATGAATGCATAACAAGTGGAACAACAAATCTCTCTCTCTCTCTCTTTCTCCCTCTCTCTCTCCCTCTCTCCCTCAAATCAATAAATAAAAACTTAAAAAATAATTTGTTAAAGGCGAACACTGTAATCACAGTTGAGACTTTGGGAATAGTCAGTGCATGAACAAAGTAATAAGATCTTTGCTGCCTCACGAGGATCCAGCCACTTCAAACTCTTGAAGCCGTTTCAAAAGTACGTTGTGTGTTATTTTGGTGACTGGCATGGTTTTGCTTATGTATAAAAATCAGAAAAAGTGGCTTATCTGCTTAACAGTTTCCAAGTTTGTTGCATCTAAGGTGGATGGGTTTGTCCAAGAACGCGGTGGGGAGGAAGCACTGTGGATATAGGTTTCTTCAGAGCTGCAGCATTCTCAGATTACTGCAAGTTCACTTCATAAAATACTGCAATTTACTTTCTTTTTTTGATAAATCTGTATTTTTATGTATATGGAGTCAGGTTTGTGGATATAACCTAGCTAAACCCCAGACAAAATCAACAGTGACAAATAATTACCAATGTTAAATGTTGGAAGCATGATAGAGACCCCACTGAAGGCTGAATGAAGGCTTGAACTTGGGACTCAGATCTATTCCTTAATAATTATGTCACACCGGGCAAATCACTAAACCAGTGAGCACAGTTTTTCAGTACCGCAAGGATAAATTGAGAACCGCAAAGCATTATTCTGACCTTTCTTACCCTGGCGGACTGTGTAGAAAACAAAATTGATGAAATGTTTGCAAAGAAATTCAAGTGGCTGAGATATATACAGAGCTGCACAAGTTTGAGAGGCTAATAACTGCTTTCATAAAATATACAGCTTTTGACTTGACACTTTGACCTGTGTGTGATCATCACGGTAACGTGACTTTTAGTTTTCAGTATTTCAGTCCCTTCTGTGGGATACAAGGTCTACCCCCTGGCTCAACAGGGACTAGCACTGCGTGCTGTTACAATGAAAGCTACAAGGAGGTGCTTCTTTATTGCTTAATTATTCCCCCCAAAGGCAATTACTTCTATCTTGGAAAAAGCAGGACTCTGTAGTGAAGACATGCAGACCTGAAAGCAGTGCATTAATTATTTTATTAATTTCATCTTTTTACATTATGGGAAACATTCATCTATTTACAATTTTTTTTGTTCACACACAATCTAAGTAGATAAGCCTATGAAATTCCAATTCATAAATCCATAAAAATGTTCCCCATCCCTCCATCAGAAGGCTTTCAAATGAATCTTTTTTTTTTTCCAAACCAAAATAATTTTTAAAAATTACATTTGGGAATTCAGATATGCTAGTGATTTACATTCCAGTTATTTAAAATATGCATCTAGACATGTTTTAAAAAAGAAATGGTAAATTCACAAGGATAAGGCTTAAATTAAAGTGGTAACGCACAGTAAAACATTAAGGAAACATCTATAAATAACAGAAATATATTACAAATAAATTAGTTCTATTTACCATTTCAAATATTAAAAATCTTTAATCCATTTCTTCATCTCTCTTTACAAAAAGGTTATGTGAATTGTATGGAAACAACTGCAAAAAATATAATAAATACTTAATTTCTTTGAACTTTTTTTGATGCGGGAGACAAACTTCTTTTTTAATGCCCCCCTCCCCAAGAAAATGCCCAAACATCTTTGTACCAAAGTTAAACAAAATAAGTAATTTTTCAGGGTACATACATTTTCCATTATGAACTAAGAAACATTTCTACAAATACATCAAAAAGAACAATGTAACAAAGGTTATGCTCATGGATGTCAATTAAAGGGGGCAAGTGGTTAACAAGCCGCTTGATGTGGGGTCACGTTTTAACATCAATAATTAGCTCTTTATAAAGTGTTTGTACAATTTGTGATTAGAAGGAAGGCAAAGGTCATGATGCCTGTAGGCATTTAGCTAAAAGATTTAAAATTCTTACCAAAAATAGCTTATGAATATACAAATACCGCTCACACGGACAAGATAAATAGGACTTCTCTTGTCTCTCTTTAAAATATCCTGGGCTAAACCAGTTTCCAAAGAAAATATTGTAGGATGATCTGGAATCGTATTAGAAATCTATTTCTTACTCCAAATCGTATCTCTACCTCAGGGCACAGAGCTGTTGAGAACATGGGTTTTCCAATGGATACCACTTCCTTCACGTTAATCTGCGAGTTCCACGTCATTTGCAGGACTGAATGTGACCATAGGCTACCCAAGGTGGCAGTTGGCCTTACTTGATGCAAATTTTGTGTGACCTTCCACTGCTGCTAGAAAGTAAATAAAAGATGTATTCTTTTTAGAACCAGCAACACCTGAAGCTCAAAATCTCTGTATGCTCCAATTTTACAAAGCACTCAAGGTGCTTTGTTCACCCTAGTTAAAAGTTTGTTTTGAGATAAGTTAGTAGCCCTTGTAAACCACAGCAGTAAACATTTGTGCCCTGTTTATAAAGATAGCTCAAAGCATCGATGGCTCTGAGAGGTAGCGAATTCCCTAGTGGTTTTTGAATATGTCCATGAAAATAGTTGTTGCCAGAACCCATCACCTCTCTTAATTTCAGAAATAAAATTAAATTAGCACCTGGCGATGCGAGTGTGTTTTTTGAAAAAGCTTCTCTGGTGCAAGCGTATTTGATGTATGTTTTTAGAAGTCTTTCATTTTTCAATGGTAATTTCTAATACTTTAGGGTGGGAGCTGGACGTAAAACGCCAGTGATACTTTAAGATCCCCATATTCTAAATGTATTGACTGCTATGAATAAGGGCATTTACGGAGAACTTCAGCAAAGTGCAGACTGCCCATCCAGCATGACTAAAAATGTCAATCAACATTCTCTGCCAAAAGCCTGGGCATCTTTCAGTGTTTGTGCGTCGTGACTGTTCCCTCTCCTTGTGGTTGCTGAACCTTGCAAGTCAAATTTTTCTCACTACCTGGGACTTCAAGAGGAGTGGCAGCTCTTTGGAATGAGGCATGTCTATTGGGGTAGAAAATTTATTTTGTTGGGTTGACGTGGGACACAATCCTTATGCTAGGGGTTGATCGGACTCTATGGAATAGTAGTTAGAGAAGACTAAAGGAAGAGATATGTCAGCAATATGAACTAACAGGTTAAAAGAGATGGCCGTATAGCATTCAAGGGGATGATGGGAAAATCCAAAAGCTTCTCCGAAAACCACCTGGCTGCCATGTAGAGCGCTTCAGAAGCAGATGTGTACGTATACAGGTGTGTTAGGTAGGCTCCCCAGAATGGACACTAACAAATTAATAGAACCAACACTTTCCCCATTTAAGACCCTACTGCACAACAATATAATATACATAACACAATAAAGGTTGATGAAACATTTCAGGTCTAATTGTTTTTTAAACAATAGAACAAAAAAAAAATCCCTATGTATATCTTAAACTCTCAGTGCTTCCTTTGCCTTGCCTTTCTTCATTTTATTGCCTTTCAGAATAGATTAATTTCCCTGAAAGAGCGAATTTACAATCTTCTGCTGATTGAAACATTTGAAGCAGTGATTGATGAAGCATCAGTGAGGCAGTTTGTGCAGCTGTGAGTGGTGCCGGTACTCCCAGCGCCCGCAGATTTTGCTTCTCCCTTCCCCACTACACATCCAGGTCCCCCACCCCCAGCCCAACTCGGTCCCCTCTTGGTTTGTCACTCATGGATTCCGGTGAGATGGCGTGATTTCTGAGGCTGGAAATAAAGTGCTCCATCTGCTTTGCAAAATAATAACCATTGGGGAAATAAAGGGGGTCGGAGCCCTAGTTTCTTTCACGTGGAAGACGGTTAAGTCCCAAAGGATCCCCCTGTGTTACTGGATTTCTGAAATACCCTACGGTTTTATATTGCTGAGCTCTAGGGACACACTAGCTTGAGAGAACTGAGGATGGCGGGTGGCTTAAAGGGGCTATCTCTACACAGGTGGGCTTGGTTTTGCCAAGAAAAGAAAGGGCTGCCTATCCGGATGAGGCAGGTGACGCATCAGTACAGGTGGCGAAGCTCAGTGAATAACATAGGCCAACTGGTCCGGGCAGAGGGGTGCCTGGGGGGCGGCTCCTGCAAGATGGACAACGACACCGCGACAGTGGGAGTCCCTGGGCTCAGAGACAGACGGGCTCGGAGGCGGAGGGGGCCGGGGGAGGAGGCGGGCGGGCGGGTCGGCGGGTCCTGGGGTGCCGCCGCGGGGGCGCGCCCGGGCGCCTCAGAGCCGGGTCTGCGCCTCGGGGATGTAGATCTCGATGCTCTCGGCGCTCTCGGTGGCCGAGTTCTGGCGGACGGACGCGGCGCGCCTGGCGGCCATCAGGCGCTTGCGGGCCTCCTGGCGCTGCGAGCTCTCCAGCGAGCGCTCCCGGATCAGCGGCGCGGGGCCCTTCGCCGGCTTCTTTGGCACTGGAGGAGGGGCCCTTCTCTCCTGATCAAAGCAGAAGGTTCAGGACATTACACAGCTTCTCAGGACAAGCGTGGGGGAAACTGGGATAGGTCAGTAGTTAGAACACACTTTTTTTTTTTTTAAACCTAGGGGTGGTTAGTTCTGATCTGCACACTGCATATAACTTTTTCTTCATTTTTCTGGTTTGGGTATTCAAAAGATGCAGGGGGAAAAAATATACCGGTAAGCTTAAGGCCAAGGGTGAGGCTGGACTGCAGAACTAGGTCTCTCCAAAGAAAGGCTGCGGGTACTTAAAGGCCCCCTGCTGAAAGGCTGCGCGCCCAGCACGTTTAGTGGTTCTCTCTGGAGGTTCCAGACTCCTCCGGCGGCCAGAGATGGGCAAGGGTTGCAGCGGCAGCAGCAACAGCAGCAGCTTAGAATTCTGCACCCCCTCTAAGGAGGCGAGGCAGCTGCTGTGAGCTGGGTTCAGAGTTTAAAAGCATCACCGCCCTCTCCCCAGACCCACCCAAACCTAAATAGCCAAATGAGGAGGAAGAGACGATAAGACTGTGTTCCTTTAGCTTTGTAGATGCCTCAGTGAGTTACGCCCGTTTGCACACCACACACAAACACACAGCAATATACATTCCAGGGTCACCCTGGAGGGAAGACATGGGTAATTCCTACACTCTCAGCTCCAAAACGGCTCTCAAACATCCTGCTGGGATGGCACTCCGGGGCCCAGAGAGCTATTCCAATCATAGGGACAGACACTGTGAGAACTTAACACGGGATTGAAAGAGTTCACTTGCCTTAGCAACAGCAACTATAAAACAGGTATTTTTAAATGCCATTGCAAAGACAAAAGCCACTCATGACTTCAGTAGAAAAAAAAAAATGCCAGTGGGAAAGAAGGAAATCTAGACCAGAAAGGATTCTTATGAAAAGGATGATAAACTGAGGCTGCGAAATGGTCCATGTGAATGTTTTCATTTTAAATAAAATACCCTCGGTCCTCATAAATAAATGTGAAGTGTGTCATAAATGTGAAAAGTATCTTAAAGTGTAGAGTCTATGATTCTCCAAAGCGCATTCCTTGTGCCTTAACACTCATGCTGGTCACAGAGGTCCCTCCTTGCTGGCATGGGTGGAGCCTAGTTAAACTTATCACCGTGGAGTGGGGCCCGCAGGCAGTGTAAGGGAGTCTGGGTGGCCCAGAGGACAGAAAAGGAAGCACAGAACGCAAACAGTATTCTGCCAACTCTGATTGTGCTCATTCATTTTTTCCCCCTAAAGTGCACGGGATGATGAAAAGCTCTGATCATGGACAAAGTGTGTAAGGATTTAGAAATCAAGTTAACTAATGATTTACTGTGCGAATGTCAATAGTTACCTATATCATTTCTTAGCATCACTCAGTTTGGACATTTAAAAATCTTCATTGTTGAGCAACTTCGTGTATATTTTTAAAAGTATGAATACTGATCATTTTCAGTCATATTTCCCTATTGTGTACGTTATATATTTTAACAATACAAGTGGGAAATTAGATGGATGTGTGTGTACATCTGTAGTGGTTTTTTAAAAAAATAAGACCAATTCAAAAGCTTATCTAGCTGACAATTTTAAACACAGATTTAAAAAAACAAGCTGGATTAAGTGCACATGTTTGGCTTCCCAAGTGAGAGGCCACATATACACCAATGGTACTTTGATGCTTAACACTAAACCCTCAGGTTGACGGGTGACAGAGTTGGAAATTAGGGATAGGATGATAGTGTTGCTTTCCTGTCCCCTGGGACTGGATTTCTCCTGGGAGCCCACTGACCCTAAGAATCCTGATACTATGGGCAGCAACAGAATGGACTGGATTGCCATGCGCTCTGATAGGTGAGGAGATCTGAAAAGGTCAGGGCCACCAGTGCTTCAGGGGAATAACCGTGAGTCATTTTTGTAGTTGAATCTCTTGGAACTATTTGACCTCAGGCCAGAGGAAAGCAAAACATTACAAAAGTGGTGCATGACAGCCCAGCCTAGGGAGGACATTGTATACCTGTGTGAGCCTGGTGGAACCACCATAGTCCAATGTGCAAATTGTAATTTATTAATTAAAGTAAAAAATTTGAGTCTTTATTTCTAAACGGCTGCATGAGGAACCCAGTGAGCAATATTCCCCAAGGCAAATAAACCAAAAGTAAACTCTTTTATAAAGGAAAAAGTCCAACATTTTTGATTACTGTGAAACTCGATGGTGTGTATATTTTTAGACTTGAACAACAGTGGTTTCTTTATTCCTATATTTATGAAAGGATTATCAAAGTCAGTTAGCTTTCAGGGCTTATTTTCCTCAGAAACACATCCTAGGGCTGTAAGGAAGTTGAACTCTTGCTCTATGTAATCATGCACTGAATATGTCATTTATTTTAGTTTAAAAAGCAAAATGGAGGCAGTTCCTTCCAGTGACTAAAATGGTTTAACTTAAAGTTTAATTAACAAAAAAAAAGCCACATTCCCAATTTTCCAATTCACAAAGACAGGTTTTTCTTTAAAAATATGCCTGAAACATATTACAGATAATATCCCAAATGATTACTATGTAAACATTGTCATTACAATGAAATTAGTATGATGTCAGCTCCATTTCACATTGTAAACAGCAAGACTGAATGCAGAAGCCTATTTAGACTGTCCAATGTTTGTGCAGGTTTTTAAATGAACCATACAAAATCTACATTGTTCTACCTTCTTGTCAAGAGGATCCATCTGTTTCCAATTATTGGCCTTTAACTGATGGAGTTCATCAAATTTCATACTAATATTTTCTATGGACAACTGCAGCATGTCCCAGAACCCCGCCAAATCCTGGGAGGTGGGCCTTGGATGAGCATTAGGGTTCTGTACAGAGAAAGAAGAATATTCATGCTTTAGAGGCGATCCATGAAAACAAGCACAGGGCCAAAGTAACATTTTCAAATACTTCAAACAACAGAAGGAGAGTGAGTTCCTTTTGGTTTTCAGATAAAAGTGGTAATTATATAGTAATTTATAAATGGTTATTTAAAAAATTATACTTTCAGCTCTACTGAGGTATAATTGACAAATAATAATGACATTTAAAATGTACAATACGATAATTTGATATACATTGTGAAAGAATTCCCTCCATCAAGTTAAGTAACACATCCACTACCTCACATATTTACCTTTTAAAAAAATGTTTGGTGAGAACATTAAGTTCTACTCTCTCAGTGAATTTCAGTTATACAGTACAGTGCTACCAACTATAATCAACATGTTATACATTAGATCCTCAGACATATTTATCTCCTAACTGAAAGTTTATACCCTTTTACCAGCTTCTCCCTATTTTTTCCACCCCTCAGCCCTCAGCAACCACTTTTCTATTCTGTTTCTATGAGCTTGACTTTTTTGTTTTAGAGGCAACTACAAATGGTCATTTTATATACACATCCGTTTGACTTTCAAATGCCGAGGTTGTAAAACTCTTCTTTTGTAATGCAACATCAATCAGTACAGTGTATGGGGAGAGTAATCATTTGAAAATCCAGAATGTATGATCTACAATAAGATGCATATAAAATACCATATTTAAATGAAAATACCATCTTTGAAAAAAGTACAGTATATTAGAGTTGATATTTGACTACCTGCTACCTAACTTATTCAGAGAACAGATACATAATCTAAAATATGATTTGTTTTAATACTAATGTTGAGTGAAATACTAGGGAAGACAGATGAGGAGTAATAAAACATATGTTTAACAATTAAGATGCTATTAATATAAGAAGTCATTTATCATATAAATACTTTGGCAAAATCATTTGGAAATGAATTTGTTTCAAACCAGTGGTTCTCAACCTGTGGGTCGCGACCCCTTTGGCGGTCGAACGACCCTTTCACAGGGGTCGCCTAAGACCATCCTGCATATCAGATATTTACATCACGATTCATAACAGTAGCAACATTACAGTTATGAAGTGGCAATGGAAATAATTTTATGGTTGGGTCACAACATGAGGAACTGTATTTAAAGGGCCAGAAGGTTGAGAACCACTGTTAAACTGACCGTAACATAATATAGCAAATGTGAGAACACATATCTACACATACACAAAGAGTCCATAGTGATCCATTTGCTAGATAATATTGAACAATCTTTGGTATTTAAGGGTTGGCTTTCTTTGCCTCCATCCACATCTCCCTCCAAGTACTAGAAAGTATGAACCACAAATTATTATGATCTAAGACAGAAAAAACATAACTAAGAGAATGAAGGTGCCATGCTCATTGTTAATCACTACCTGCAGTAGTGGCTAAAGCATTAGATTGGTGGGAGCTGCCGTATGTCAGATGTTTATAGCTGGGGTCAGTTTTGGTTACCTCTAAGTATTCAGGCAACTAAGACTGTGAGACCTTATGCTGTATAATAACTTGAGGCCAGTTTCTTCTTTTAAAACCAACCCTCATAAGAAATGATATCAGAATTTCAGAATGTGTAAGGTCAGTGACCATCAAAATTAATGGGTTGGAAAGAACTTTTTAGCCCTTTGAATGAACTAGCATTATTTGTCTAGACTCAAAATAAATACAAGTAAAGATGTTTTTATAAACTTATAGTTCTAAAACTACCCATAGTTCTGAAATTCATTGGAAGAAGTAAATGCTAAAGTTTGTAAGCATTTGGTTCAGTATTAAATCTGTGCTAATGACACCTGAATTAATGAGTTTCTCTATAACATTTTGATTTAGTGAACTAAAAAAAAATGTTTCTAAATATCTAGGTTCAGAAAGACAGATAATAGTTTGGACAAAGTACCTCTCAAATGGAGTTTATGGTCTCACAATATATTTCCTTATCTTATTGATGATCAAAAACTAAGTTGCTCATATTCTGGAGTTCACTAAAGTCTTTTAGGTCATAAGCTCCATTGGCTAAATTGTTTCAGTGCACCAGTGCATGACATGATAGTTCAATAGGCAGAGTTATTTTTGACTCTGTATATTGGGCAACTTGTTCCCTCCTCACCAGGAACCTCTTTGCCCCCATATCATGAAAGAGATAGAAGAGGAAGCAGTGAGAAAGAGTTCAGGCACCCAGCCAGTCTCTGAATCAGTGGGTCATGTGACATCTCATGCACAAGAAGAAGTTGTAGTACTAGCCTTAGTCTGAACCAGGCCACTTAGGGTTCAGAGATGGTAAAGAGTGTAAAAAGATGAGGGGAGGTTGGGTTCCTTGGTTTAGTTTTACTGGGGAAAAAGTAACTCTCATCCATTCATTCTATGCCTGAGAGTCTAGATAATGTGTGGGTGTTCAAGTGTTCCCTTTGTCAGAGTAAGAACTCAAGACAGGAGAACTGGGTCTGGATGTGACTAATCTTAATGTCATTCTTATGCAGCTTTGTAGACCTAAATAATGCCACTACCAGGTCACCATGCTTCCTGCTGCAGAGGAGGGAGAGCTGACTGGTCAGCCTCAGGTCCCTCCACCAGGGTAAGAATGCAGCTCAAATTCTAGGGGATAAGTAGGGTGGTGGGTGGATTTAAAGGGATTGAGGTCAAAGAGACTGAGATTTGAATCTTAGTGCAGCCTCTTACCATGTGGCCCTGGTCAAGTTACGTAGCCTTTCCATGCCCATTTTTCTCAACCGTAAAACCATCATAGAAATAATGGCACAAGCTGCTCCATAAGATCTGACACAGTGGGCTCTTGACCTTCCCTCCTGGGACATGGTTTGACCGGCCATCAATGGCCCTTGGCCCACAGTGTGGTTCCGCTTCCATCTACCTTTAACATGCTTCTCACATTTTGCCACCTAAGTTCCTCTAGTGGCCAAGGAATGTGAGCCCATTAGGAGCTAGGAAACATCAAAAGATGGCTTTAACAAGGTTAACCTTTCCTGGACATCTGCAAAATTTTCGAAACGTTTTGTCTGCAATTTGATCTTCAAAATCTGCATAATATTAGTATTCTACTACATAATATACTTGCCCGTAGTATAATTCTTTAAAAAGGCATGCTCTGTGCCCTGCACTGTGTACACATTGGGCTCCAGGTATCTAGCAATCATTTTGAGAAGTATAGCTTTATGCGTGCTTTCTTACATTTAAAGAACAAAGAATCATGTTAATTAAGATGTGTGACACATTACCAAGTTCACGAATTAGCGGGAATTCTGTACCTGGCATGAAGTGAAGCTCAATAAAGTATTTTTGGTAGTCACTTATCAATACATTTACTAATACATATTATCTATAATCCAGAATAGAATTTCTGGGAAGGTGAAAGAAGGATCAGCTAATTTTTGCTGAGGGAAGGGAAGACAAATTATAGATGGGAGGATGGTGAGTAGGAGGGAAGAGATAGCTCCAAAGGAAGATCTCAAAAAGAAAGGCCTGGTGCAGAGAGATGGAGAGTACTAAGGTTTGCATGCTTCCTGTTTTTTCTTGGCCGAGTCCTGTCTAGATAAATCCTTTTCATTCTTTATTTGTCCTTGTTAACAAGAAGATGTGGTTAAAACTCTGAAATCATAGTTTGGGTCAATTAGATTGCATATAAGAATGTTTTTGCTTTCAACAAGATAAACAAGTTGCTTTTCATTATCTTTGTTTTAGACCCAGCCTGACCAACAATTGGCCAATAAAAGCTATTCTGTGGAATGACTGTAGAGCTGGTAGTAGTTTTTAAAAAGGGCATATGTGAGTGAGGAAGCGCTTGCCCCTGTATTAAAATGTTGCTGGCAGTGGTGCTTTTGTGCCTGTTTTGCTTTATTTTGTTCTGGTATGTCTAAGAAGGATCCATGTGTCTCAGGGAGATCAAATCTACACTTTGTGATGCCCTTCACCTCTGGCCCTTGAATTAAAACAGAGAACTCTGATAAGGATATACGAACTGATGGCTATTTCAGAAAGAAACTCATTATCCAAAATGGTTTTCTGTAATATTATTTTTGAAATACCAGGTGGTCCCTATTTTGGTAAGAATAATGAAATCAGAGATGCCATGTGAAAGCCAGGAGAATGGGGATTTTTCAGTTACCATAGAGCAGGAGATGGAATTTTAAATTAGTTGGGTTTTTTCTTCTACGATTTTTTAAGCATGAAAGTATTTTTAATTTTAAGAGCAGATAATAAGATTCATCAGAAAACTCTTGATTCCAAGAGAGTCCAATGGGCCTTGACTTGGTTCAAAATCAGGCCAATCTTGATAACACACTCTTCTCATGGTACTAGCAGGAAAGGGGAGTGATGGGGAATGTTACCTACCAGGTTTTCTTCACACAGTTCTCTGAACTGGTAGAATTTCTGGGCCATGAGAAGTTGGGCACTGCCAACTGCCGTTCGGATTTTCCCTAGAACTGAAAAGAGCAAACATACAAGGAGTTTACACATTATGTCTCATTGTTGAGATTTAGTCTGGTAAAGCAAAGAGGAAGTTATGCTGCAATAATTGGGGAAAACAGCACACACACAGTGCTCACACACACGTGCACACAGCCCAATCGTGGTCGTTACTCTGCTGGTCTATGTAACAGAGGCTCCTAGGTTAAAGCATAAAATCAACTGAGGGAAAAACACGTGCTCATCATGCATATTTCTCAGGGATCACAGCGTTTTCCACCACAGCACTGGACGCTACCAAGAGGAGAGGCAAACGGTTTTGTTTTGCTTTTTCCTTTTACTGCAAGGATGAATTGCAAGTGTTTGCCCGTATAGTTATGGATTTACTTGTGTCAGCAATCCGGGTCTGCCAGTTTGTTTGTTTTTTTAACCCAAATCCAAACACAAGAAAAGCCATCCTGTCTCGGAGGGGGACCCCTTGGCACTCACCATGTTCCAGCCATAGTTTCATTATTTTTCCGGAGCTCTGCCTCTGGTACTGTCAGGAAAGAGCCACTGGCCAGTGGAAAGACTTTCTAAGGAGTGAACATTTTCAGACTGTTGCCTGGGGAACGCCAGCCCCGTCCCAGCTTTTCCACTCCACAGCCCAATGTTATTGTTAACGTGGGTTTAATTCCCTCTGCACGGTGCTGAAACTCTGCCCCTTTGCAAGTCACTTCTTGCCTTCTGTGCAGTCTAAGGCGAGAACCTTTCAACCGACGGGCGTGCTGAGACGGGGCGGGGCGCTGCACTGAGCGGTCCTCAGGTCTGCATTGTCCCAAGGCTCTCCCTCCAGCCGGTGGGGACCAGGGCACAGCTGCACTGCTGGAGCCCTGCCACCAGGCAGCTCTCAACATGCCCTCCCTGCCGGGAAGGAAGGGGAGAAGGCACCCTGCTTGCTCATAGGAAACCAGAGGGGGCACTTCTCAAAGTGCACTTGGCCTGCTCAGAAATCCTCCCGGGGAGGCACAGTATAGGACTGAAGCAATGGTTTTGCTGTGGTTTTGTTATGGGTGTACAGAACCTGAGACTCAGAGTGGAATCAGGTCTCCCTTCCTTGACCTCATTCCTCACAAAGTCTGAGGAGAAGGAAACAGAAGAAAAAGAAACTTCATTTTGGCCCTGGGTTTTCTAGAAGTCTGCTTCTGTTTAAAACTGCCAGGCTAGCCAATGGTTTGTAATGCACATTAGTCATGGGCACTCCTCTAATAGTTCAGCATTCCCACACACATAACTCAGGGCGATGACGAACTCTCCAATATGTCACCAGGCACGCCAAACAGCTGAAGTGCAGGAATTCGCCTACTCAGTGATAGCGAGGGGCCGCCCTGGACAGCCGACTGGCAGCTATTGCTCAGGGCGAAGTTTTTACTTCTTTCCAATTTGCTTACACTCTTTTGAGATGGCTAGTCCATTCCTCTCTAACGGATCGATCGGTTGTTGGAGGCCTCCTCTCCCTTTCTCAACACTCCAAAAGCAGAGGGACAGCATATGCAGACACAGGGCACCACAGCAGTTAAGAATTCAGGCCCTGAGTAGGCCAAGGGTTCTGGCTCCAACAATGAGAGCAGCCGCGTCCTGGACAGTCACTTAATCTGTTTTCTCACGTGTAAAATGGAGCAATGGGTACCTATTTGTAGGGTTGTTGTTAAAGTTAAAAGTGGTACTGTATGCGAACTGTTTAGGTCAGTGTCTGACCTATAGCAAGCACTCAATAAATGCATATTATCACCTAGGGCCAGGACATTGCACTTCCTCTAACTGTGAGCCCCACACAGAGTAGAGGAAACAAACCAAAGCCTGGATGATCCCTGGCTGCCTGGGATGGGTGTGTGCGTTGATGACCTGTCCTAGAGCTGAGACAGGTCTGAGAAGGCACTTCCTAAGTGAACACGTGGCTTTAGGCCAACTCCGAGGTTCCTGAATTATCTTGCTGAAGGGGAGGATTCTGACACCAGCAATTTTCAGAATGAATCATGGGAGATTAGATCTAATACCTAAGTCTCCAATGGGCTGCCTGGGATCGCTTAGCTCCAGGCAACTGGCATAGAAACTCAAACAATTCTGATGTTCCTCAAACTTTGCACTAAGATTCTCACTTACAGCCGAATACCTGCGCTATGTAATAGACTACCATAAGAGTAGCTAAGACAGTGATTCTCCAATGAGGAGAAAGAAGTGCTCCAAACAGTCATCCAGGCAACACCCAACCGCGGTGGGTAGGACTAACTCGGATTTCTTCTCAAGGAAAACAAGGGACATCTTTCTTCATTCAGTATGGTTTGGCCAGAACCCTAGATTTGGAGCAAAAATACCTGGGGTGGAGTGTGGTCCTTCTGTTTCCCAGGTTTTTGCCATCATGTTCCTTGAGTGGAAATGTCTTACTGGCTCCAGGATTATTCGCATTTCCTGGGTCCAAGTGATGGTCTTTTCTGGGCCCAGGGTAGGGAGATGACGATTTGGGTCAGGGGGGAAATATGAACCGGGAGGGTGTGGGACAAGCAGATGATAGCTCACACTTCTCTGACCTCCATGCTTTTTTTTTCTTTTTCTTTTTTTAATATATTTTATTTTTTACAGAGAGGAAGGGAGAGGGATAGAGAGTTAGAAACATCGATGAGAGAGAAACATCGATCAGCTGCCTCCTGCACACCCCCTACTGGGGATGTGCCCGCAACCAAGGTACATGCCCTTGACGGGAATCGAACCTGGGACCCTTCAGTCCGCAGGCCGACGCTCTATCCACTGAGCCAAACCAGGTAGGGCGCATTCTTTCTTTTTCAGAGAATTAAAAATTCATTTTAATTTTTAGGGAAGAAGCTCTAATGAAGTTTGTTCCGTTTTGTTTGTCCACTAGACACAAACTTGGTGTGATAACTCTTTTCTCCTGGAAGTAAATTTCATATTTGTTACATATGCCTTAAGGAAGTACAAAACTAATAAACAGCATGTGGTAAATATCAGTGGAAATAAACACTAGGGAAAATAAAGCTGAATGCTGGTAAAGAAATGAGATAAAGAAGAGCCATCATAATGTTATTTAGAAACTACTCTAAAACATTCCATACCATCCTTCAGCAGAGTGCAAAGAAAAGACTTTGATCGGGGATTCTAAGAAAAGAAGTATAAGGGAGCAACAGTAACTAAGCTGTGGGCTTTCCCCATGCATATAAAACAGCCCACCCTGGTATTAGAAAGTTCTGGAAGAGGCCTAGAGATAGTGCATCTTTCCAGGGTTTGCCTTGCATCTCACTATTTTACTGTAGCATGGCAGCAGTTAACTTCGTAGGGTTGGCCTGGCCCTCAAGGACATGGCCAAGAAAGCCAGAGGAGCCTAAAAGTGTGGGGTCTATGCAAAAGCGGTTGGGCAAGGCCAACCTTCAAATTATGTTTTCATGGAGCAGGACAGTCGTTGTGGGTTCTGGGAATTCAATCATTCATTCATTCAGCAACTATTTATTAAGGGCACTGTACGATGTGCCAGGCACTGTACTGGAGGGTAGGATAAGGTGATAAGAAAAAGCCCTGCCCTCATGGATTACATTCTGGTGAGGGATAGTGGGAGAGACTGTGAAACAGAAAAACAAGATTTAAAGGCTTGGGATTTGCTAGACGGCTTGGAATGATCAGATGGTGCTGAGTGTGACTGAGCACTTCAAAGGGCAGTGAGTCCCTTAAACGGTGGCTAGAAAACATTCCGTCTTCTTGGCCTCTCTTAGGAAACGGAGAACAAACAAACAAACAGCAAACAAAAACCGCGGTTTGAGATGGTATCAGTTGCAATATGAAAATGGACTCTGGACTAAACAGCATGTTGTATAATTTTATTTATTGATTTTTTTGAGTTGATTGATTTGAAAGAGAGAGAGGAAGAGAGATTTGTTGTTCCACTTATTTATGCATTCATTGATTCATGTATGTGCCCTGATCGGGGTTCAAACCTGCAACCTTTGGCATATTTGAACGATGCTCTAACCAACTGAGCCACCCAGCCAAGGCAACAGCTTGTTTTAGTAGTCATCATCTGAAAATGCCACTGTTTTTTATTTGGAAAAAAATTAAAATACATGAAAGTAGAAAGGGCAAAATAGCAAACATCTATGTATATGTTCTTCCCTAAAGAAATAATTTTTAAAAATGCACTTCTTAATTTGTGTTTCTTTTCTTCTCTCTCTCTCTCTCTGCAATGAAATAAAGCCTACAGATAAAGTATATGCCACTTCTGTCCCGTTAGCCTCCCTTCCAGAAGAAACCACTGGACTAGACGAACAGTCCAGCCTATCCCTGAGTTTATGAAGGTTTTCCCCCTGGTCCTAGGAAGGTGACAGCTAAGGGCCCTTGGAGTGTAAACGAGAGAGCGATAGTCAGGGGCAATTCCACTGGCACAGTTGAGACCCCACAGCTTAAGGCAGCAGACTGTCTGAAGTCAGATGGGAGGTTTCCAGCCTGTGCTGCGCCAGGGGGAAGATGTGCTGCTGGGGTTCCATTTAGTTGGTTTCCTTCACACTCTGGTCCATACAGTCTTTCCAGATTGCTTACCCCGTATGTAGTTGACAATTTTTACCTCCCATCTCCCTTAAGGCACATTCCAGAATAATGATCTTTGCTGCATACCCAAGCATGACATTCAATCATGAGTTATACTATCTATTTGTGTAATAGTTCATCATGTAACACGCCTTGCCTTGCTGTGTCACTCTTTTTATATCGGTAAGTCTGCTTCTCCCCAGGGGTTTTATTAGTGCCTGCCAGTGCATTTTTAGATCCCTTTCTCCCTTTCCTTTCCTCCCAGCTCCTTGGTTAGTCCAGCCCTCAATGGAAGTACAGGACAACAGCCATAAACACTGTTGAACTAAATTCCTTCTATTTAAAAAGTGGGCCCTAACCGGTTTGGTTCAGTGGATAGAGCGTCGGCTTGTGGACTCAAGGGTCCCAGGTTCGATTCCGGTCAAGGCAATGTACCGTGGTTGAGGGCACA